TCTCTCTCTCTCTCTCTGATGACTGAGTTCGCCTTGAACTACGTCTGAGGACTGGTCGTGATTTTGAGTGGCACGCTCAGTTCTAGTACAACCATACTTTGGACCCGTGTCAAGATGGCGCCTCAAGGAAATTCTAGATACCAAAAATACACAGATGTTTCCAATATTCAACCCACTGTATGAAATCTATTTCCAAGATTTCTTTTTAAAGACTTCAGTTACGTTTTAGTTTAGCGATGAGGTGTCAGCGTTTTTCCCGAGGGTTTCCGTGATTAAATTACTTAAAAGATAATAGACATTATTCGGTGTTGTTTACATTTCTTGGAGTGGCAAATATTACTGCAGGAAATTAGTATCGTTTTGGACGGAGAAAAATACGTCCGATTCCCAGAAACTGACATTTGCCTGATTGCAATTAAGACCATCCCTCCGAGTGGGAAAGTCGTGTCGTTTACGTTCAGTCCACCTGCAGCTTTCTTGTTGTTTATACGGCAGCGTGAGGCATATGTAAACACGTTGTAATGTCCACCTGAGGTGCCGCATGTTGCAGATCTAATCAGGAAATTCATTGAGTTGATTCCCATTTTACACTGCGTTGGGCCCGTATCTATTCTTTTGATTTGACATAATGTTGTTGTTTTTTTAAATATATTTCTATTTCAATGAAGAACTTCGATTTTGTCATTTGATAGGATAGGAACCCCCTGCATGCATACCGCCTCTTTATTTCACATTATTCTCTCTTCGGCTGAATCTATATTTGACATTTGGAAACGAAATACACACAGACCAAATAAAAAATCACTAACAACATTGGCCCTTATATGGTAATAAAAAAGTGAGTGACACATGGGCTATTTGACGCACTCAGTGACAATAGAGTGTTATTCTCAGGCTGTAGGAGGGGGAGTGTAGCTGGTGCGGGTGGGGGGTGGGGGGGTCCCACAAATGATATAACGCACAGGAAAATAACGGTCAAAAGTACCCAAGACAAACTCATCTCCATGTTAATTCTTCTGGAAAGCCAGCACCCTCACTGCTCTAGGAAGTTGTTTTGATGTTTGCTTAGATTTCTTGGCTCGAGTAAAAGAAGTTATAATGAAAAGTCGAACGCAAAAAAAAAAATGTTTCTAAATGTTGACTCATTTCAAACCACAAACTCCGGGAAATTGGCTCAAATTGCTTTCTTAAAAAACGCACTGATTTATGGTTAATGTAATTGTGGTTTATGCGTTGTTTTTCCTCTGACAGGGGTTTGTTTTAATGGAATCATCACGTTTCATTAAAAAGTATAAATAAGTGCTTCCCGAGTCTTGATTGTCAATATTGCTACATGTATTCATCCATTATGTCGTCCAATGACTGAGGTATAAAGAGTCTTCATGCACGTCACGTGCAGAGAACAGGGTGGAGCCGGGATGGGGGTTGGGTGAGGTGGGGGGGGGGGGGGGTGGGGTTCAGACTCATGAAAGATACCCTCAATGCCGACATAAGGACGGTACCCCCCCCCCTAAAAATTCAAAAGCGTCGGGGGTGAGGATAGTCTATAATGCCCTTGATATCAAAATCGCGTTCACTATACATTTACCTTCTCAAATATTTTACACAGCGGTGGACCCGTATCTATTCTTTTGATTTGACATAATGTTGTTTTTTTTAATATATTTCTATTTCAATGAAGAACTTCGGTTTTGTCATTTGATAGGATAGGAACCCCCTGCATGCATACCGCCTCTTTATTTCACATCATTCTCTCTTCTTCGGCTGAGTCTATATTTGACATTTGGAAACGAAATACACACAGACCAAATAAAAAAATTACTAACAACATTGGCCCTTATATGGTAATAAAAAAGTGAGTGACACATGGGCTATTTGACGCACTCAGTGACCATAAAGTGTTCTTCTCAGGCTGTAAGAGAGGGAGGGTAGCTGATACGGGTGGGTGGGGGGTGGGGGAGGGGGGGGTGTCCCACAAACAATATATCGCACAGGAAAATAACGTTCAAAAGTATCAAAGACAAACCCATCCCCATGTTAATTCTTCTGGAAAGCCAGCACCCTCACTGCTCCAGGACGTTGTTTTGGTGTTAGCTTAGATTTCTTGGCTGGAGTGAAAGAAGTTAATGAAGAGTAGAACGTAAAAAATTGTTTCTAAATGTTGACTCATTTCAAACCACAAACTCCGGGAAATTGACTCAAATTGCTTTCTTAAAAAACGCACTGATTTATGGTTTATGTAATTGTGGTTTATGCGTTGTTTTTCCTCTGACAGGGGTTTGTTTTAATGGAATCATCACGTTTCATTAAAAAGTATAAATAAGTGCTTCCCGAGTCTTGATTGTCAATATTGCTACATGTATTCATCCATTATGTCGTCCAATGACTGAGGTATAAAGAGTCTTCATGCACGTCACGCGCAGAGAACAGGGTGGAGCCGGGATGGGGGTTGGGTGATGTGGGGGGTGGGGTTCAGACTCATGAAAGATACCCTCAATGCTGACATAAGGACGGTACCCCCCCCCTAAAAATTCAAAAGCGTCGGGGGGGGGGGATAGTCTATAATGCCCTTGATATCAAAATCGCGTTCACTATACATTTACCTTCTCAAATATTTAGAGGCACATGCCTGGCAGCACTCGTAGTGTATGAACTCTGGTTTTTGGCAATGTTATCCACCGGCAATTTTCAACAGACACAGGCACGTGGGTAATCACCTTTCAATCATATTACTCCCAGGTGCAGAAATCTGCCAGGTACACCTTGACTGGATACAAACATCAAACACGGCGATGTTTAGATTTAGTGCCCTTTCCTTGGTTTTTATTTCTACCTGGAATTACTTGTTTTTTAATATGTTTGTGAAATGAAGGTGGCCTTCTCCGAGTAAACATCAATAGGCTACATTTTTCTCTTGTTTTAAGTTCATCTTCTTAACGGAGGTGTAAGTTTTTCTTGTAAAAGTTTACTAGTGAACTAACATATAATATCATAAGGGGAAGATCTATACTATATCTATACTTAGGCCTACAGGTGTAGCGTCCGTTTCTCTTGTCATTTTCCTTGTGAAAAACCAGGCTTAAAAACATTTTTTTGTAAATTTCAGCTGATGCTAAGCATCAACACATTAAGAGTAATTCAAAAGTGATCGTATTTATTAAGGGTCACCTGTAAAACAGAGGTAGTAGAAGTTAAATCGTGTGTGTTTGTCTAGACACAAACATCGCGGAATAATTAAGAGGAATTTCTATTCCGTTTCTTTTGTACTACTTCTTAATGGAACCCCAGATGAGGATACACAGGTACTGGTAGCTGTTGTAAACCTGTAAACAGACAAATGATGTTTAATTGTCTGCTTATCTTGCAGCGTATTCCTAGAAATGGTGTCTACAACTATATAAGGCGGTTGACATAGGAATGCCATGGACATTGTGAGTTTATTATGTGAAATTCAGATCAAAACAAAACACGATAAATGTGACTTCATATTTCAGTGTTTTTATATCTTACATATTACTTTATATATAATTTGGATAGACAACTATTAATTAACTACAGGTAACGTAACGCGTAGACTGAAAATGCATTCTTATAAAGACTATTCATGGTGACTGCTTACTTTGCATGTAGTTCGGAAATTTCGTATTATATTCAGCACGTACACCAGCTCATTTCTCCAGCATAAAAATAACAACCGAGATTCAAAGGGCAACTTCATAACATTACAAACCTTGTTCACACCCAGTCTAACTTAAACCAGGAAAGGCTACTTGACGTCATCGGTTGCTTGACATGAGATGAAGAAGTGAATGCGCAGTGTGAGGGGCCTACAGTACATAAGTGTATTAATATGTTGTTAAGTGATGAAAATAGGTCTATTTCCACTGTAGGCTAAGTCAGTACTGGTGTAAACGTTCGTAAGATAAATATATGTAAGACCGCGGGCATGTTTAAGGTTAGCTATTTTGTGTATAGGTGTGCCTTATATGCGCATTTAAACCCAGGTATATGTTAATGGATATTTATGTTTCAAGACGGCGTAGAGAACTCAATTAACGTAATCGTTAAAACAGGCCTTCGATATTGCTTTTAACAGTTTTGACATGAGTCATTGGCTTTTGGTATCGCCTAAGGGGGTTTAAAGAAGACGAAGAAGCTGAGTTTTTCATTTCTGTTTCATATCTACTTGGTCTTTTCACAAAGTTATCGAACCAGGAAAATATATTACTCGCTATAATGAAAAACAGATGTCGCTTGATTTGTATCAATATTTGTTATGTGTTTCGTGAAATTTAACATGTGGACTTAATAGGTTTGAGGGTTTTATGTCAGTGGATGTTTTGTGTCTATTTGCATAATAGAGAGAGAGAGAGAGATACGCAAAACGCGAGTCTCTGCAAAATGTTACTATTGTGGTTTTGGGTTAGGAAACACAGATATAATTTGAAAGGCAATAATTAAAAATATAGGACGAATATGGATGAATATTTGAAAGAGGAAGAAATAATAAGAGTGATTAAGTAGAAAGAAAAAGAAAATGAATTCGAAATAAGAGATAATGAACAATAAAAATGTTGACAATAGCAAAGTGAGAAAGATATAGGGGAGCGGGTTGAAGAAAGTAAAAATAACTGTTTTCATCAAAGACTGCCGATGAGAAGTTTGAAAAGCAATCACGTAGTCACGAATTGGAAGACAGATTGACACAAAGATTATTAAAGAATTACTAAATGTCAAGAAAATTCCGAAGACGAGTTTTCACGTCTATACCTTGGCTGCTTATATTGGATCGTACTATACGGCACGTATACAACGCAAGGTAAATGCGGTGAGGTATATAGACCAAAGTATTGCGAGGTCGATATCAAATGGCAAAGGTAGAGGTGAGGGAACACCTTTGCAGCAGCTCCTCTGGATTTCTTGAACCATGATGTAGGCTTCGTTGAGCTGGAAAAACTGTATAGACCCGGTACATAAACACAGATAGGTAGGATTTTAGGATAGGCATATTTTAGACGAATCATTTCGAAGAGAGTTCCGAAGAAAGGGGGCGAGATCATGCTACAGGTATTAAAAGCTAAGACTGGAGTTTCTCAAAGGAAAGGAAAACACGCGGATTAGGTGCATGCAACGTCCCTGTGTGGTATATGTCCGAGTGGAATTGTTGGGAAGTGAACTGATTACAACGTGCTACAGGTAATACCCACGTACTTGTAGAGATTGTCGATGACTTCTGGTTTTCTCTTTCTTTTTTGCTCTTTTCTGCTCTCTCTCTCTCTCTCTCTCACCTGTCCGTTAACGGCCAAAGTCGCTATAGATTTGTAGATCTGTAAAGTAGAAGTTTTAAATTTTTGATGCTCTCTCTCTCTCTCTCTCTCCCTCTCTCTTCTGTTCCGTGAACGGCCAAAATCGCTATAGACTTATAGATCGGTAAAGTAGTAGTTTTACGTTAGGCAGTATTGACAATAAAAGGCGCCGTGATTTTTTGCACCGCTTCGATTTCCTGTATAGATTTGATAGTAATTAAGAAGGTGAAACAATCAGATATTGATTTGGCTTTATTTTGTTTACTGGTAGCAGCTTGTAGTTTTTCTCACATAAATGCTACTGGATTATTGCTGTAGGTTGAGATTGTCATGTAGTGTTCACGGTCCCCTCACATATGTAAAAGCGTTTCACCCGTGTTGTTTTTAATATCATTGGCACTACCTATACTATGCTGACTTGTTTTAAACAACGATGCCCTTCAATTAGGTATAAATATATCAGTTTTACGATTGTGTGAAGAGACACCTCTAGAAGCATGACCAAGAATATTATTATATATTATGCACATCTAAACCTGGACTGGGCATTTGGGCATCAGCAGTGAATTTTGTACTCGCTTCCTTTGAAAATTAAGAAAAAGAATCTGACAAAAAGCAAAGTATATTCAGGTGGTTAACTTTTGGCCTTAAATCGGCCAAGCGTGTTAATATCTGAGATTAGGGTGACCTTTTATTAGGAAGGGACCTTTCTCCCTACCTGACCTTCACCTTATAAACGTACCCCTGTAACAGGTAGACTAAGGCCACATACCCCGTTAAATAATATATAAATAATCAGACAACAAAGTGAAATCAAATTTCAAATAACTGGACTTGTTAAGCCCACATATTTGCCACAATCGTGTTGATCTATACAATATTGACATAATTTTCCGCTTGCGGGAGTTTCAATTTCGGCCCCCATACAACCCGTATTCTGTGGCGTTCAGAGTAATAACAAAACGCCGGATTAATCCTTATCGATATTTTGTGATTGCTTGGGCGGATAGCGCACTGTCGTTGCAATTAATTTGTGGACGTGGAAATTAAAGTATATCAGGACCGAATGCACTTGATCTTACACCAAAAACGCCCTGGGCTTGGTCAGTCAGGTGCAGTTGGTCGAATTTGAAATGGAGCGTGCTCTTGTGTGCATACGTGAGGCTGTGCATGAGAGAGAGAGAGAGAGGGAGGGAGAGAGAGAGAGAGAGAGAGGAGAGAGAGAGAGAGAGAGAGAGAGAGAGAGAAGAGAGAGAGAGAGAGAGAGAGAGAGAGAGGGAGAGAGAGAGAGAGGGAGAGAGAGAGGAAGAAAGGGGAAAGGGAGTGTGTGTGTGTGTGAGAGAGAGAGAGAGAGAGAGAACACACGACGTCGAGGTTATGTTCAACCATAATTGTTGCCTGTTCTCCATGCACCGGGGTATATCTGTTAAAAACCAGTCTGATGTACATCATTCTTTAAGTGACTAAAATCAAGTGTTCTAGTACGTATCTTGCCCTTTTCTAAATGCTAGCAGTCCCTAACACTGATACGGTTCATACATGTAAAAGGAGTATGAGGTTTAAATAAATAGGAGTTAGTGTGAAATACTAGTAGAAAATTCTGACATATATGTTTAAATCGATAAGCTTCATTAATTGTAAATAAAACTAAAATTTGTTTGTTATGACCATTCACATACCGGTAGTATAGGCCCATTGTATATGAAAACAAGAAAAAGACTCCATGCAATGGCTGATCTGGTAAAACACATATGGGTTGCTTTGAATACTACGAGATGTCCTTATTTCACAACACTGCCAGTAGTTCCCTGCTATGAACAGACACCTAGACGTCGCCACTAGTACCTGTAATACACAGATTCCTCCATTCGAAAGAAGAACATCAGTTGACATCAGTATAAAATTACAATTACCAGCACTGAATTCAAGGTTTCCATATACAGGCTTAGACAGGATGTCAGTTCACTTCTATCCTGTCACTGTAATACTCAGGAAACACTCTGCTCGGAGTGCTTTAAATGGTTTTAAAAATACTCCGATTGCTACTAAATAATAAGATATCAACACGTCTGCACGCCCATAGCTTTTAATAAAGACAGTTAAGTATGCGTGTGTGCGCCTGTTTCTCACGGTGTGTAGGAACTGAAGTATTACTGTGTTGACAACCGCAAAGTTGTACGCGGAAACTGCATTGTGACCGAGCACCGCAAACACAATAGTGTTCCGCTGGCGGAGACTGCATTGTGACCGAGCACCGCAAACACATTTGTGTTCCGTTGGCGAAGGTTGTATTTAAAAGCAACGACAAATTATAGACACTTGCAGAAAAGTCATTTAAAAGGCTGAAGATCTTGGGTAGGTGTTACAGGACACTCACGTGGAAAAAGACACACAGGAGAGACGTGATGAAGGAACTGTAACCAACTGTAACCAAGCTAGGCAACAACATAGCAGTTGATCACCTTTTTTTTTTTTTTTTTTTTTTTTTGCAGTTGTTAGGTCTTTGTCCACAAGGGAGAATTTTTTGTTCTTTTAAAAGTCAAAGAGATTTGTGACATGGCGGTGACAATATATTGTGTCATTTATGTGCTGTCTGTGTTTGGGAAGTGTGATAATGTGTGAGCACCAAAAGGTGATATGACTTCCACGGTGGACAAATGATGATTCACGTATTATCTCAAGCAGTCGTCAGGATAACCGGTGATAAAAATGTCCGCATTGGCGCGTTGTGTTGAAAAAATGACTGTACTTATGGCAAAATGAACCCACAATTTCTGACTTCTGATTGAGCAATAAATAACAGTTAAAATGCACCAGAATGCAGTATTATACATACAGTTTTTAAAAATTTTCCACACCATGAGGGGGACAACCCATCCCACACCCTTCCCCCCTCGGGGGCTTCGCCCCCTCGTGTGCGCTTACTGCCCCCCCTGGCATTTTGCTCAGGCTACGGCCCTGGGGACTGCTAGCATAAAACTATAACTGCATTTCAAGCCGATAGAGGTCGAGATATGTATATCCCTCTGTCCAAATGTGTCAATAGTCTCAATACATCACCACGACCAACAAACTCAGTGGTGACATAATAACATAAACTGGCGAATGCCATGCTGATATCACGTTATCTTCGCTGTTTCCCTATCCTGGGACTTGTTCTTCCAGTATGAAGGCAAAATTTTCCAACATATAGCATACATGTAGCTGTTGACACTTTGTTTTAAAAGACACCGATATATAATAGCTGAGAGCAATGTTTCGGATGATCTGAAGTTTTATCCCATCAAACGCCACCTTCGGGCAGACCCATACCTGTACACATTACGGCAGCTAACGTCACTGCAGCTAACGTCACATTTTGTATCACGATATATTATGTCTACCATAAAAGAAGACCTTAACGCTCTCATTTCCAAATTTATAATAAAAATATTTTATTGCTAATGCCTGTAAGCCCCCTTGGGATAGATCCGATGACGGCTAGTTCATATCTTTAAGAATTCTCACCTTGGTTCCTAAGCACCACCCAGAACTCTATACTCAGACCAGCCGTTCTAAGTGCCGTTAAGTTAAAAACAATTGGTGAATTCTGTATCGATCGACGGAACTTAAATAATAGGAAGGTAAATACCCCCCCTCCCCCCCCCAAAAAAAAAAAAAAGAAAATGTATGAAATGTTGAATTGCAGTACACAATACTCTGATGAATGGAGCGTGAATCTACCACATTGTGTGGAGAAGGGTGTACGCATTTAGTGTCCTTTAATATTGTCAACAAGCCAGGTCTGCTATGAGGTTATGTTGCAATTGTACTGGCCCATAGTATTTAACTGTACATGTATAACATGTAATTTTTTACCCTAAAACACCACACAATTAAGACAGTCAGCACCGTGCACAATAGGTATCTGTTTATTAGTTTGTTTACGCGTAACCTGGCGAAGATAAAATTTGCTTTTCACTTCGTTTGCACAGATATCGATAATGGATGTTTTTCTCAAATCGGTGACCTAGTTCCACTATTGCTGACAACACACAGTTCAAAAGTTCCGTCACTGAACTGTTTCTGTGGTCGCCATTTTGCTTCACATTTGTTTCTCCATTCATGCGTCGCACGAGAATACATTACATAGATATAAGCCCCTGCACTAACAGAGATTTTATACGAAGTCACCACTGGATCGTGCAAGGTATGTAAAAAGCTGGTGAAATACTGCAAGGCCTTACAGGAACTACAGGTAGTTAGAACGGAGAGATTATCAGACCACCAAAGATCATCATAGCACTATTTTCCAGTAATTTTAACCAGTAATATTTCGACTAACAAGAAAAGCAAGTGGTGACATCATTATATAAGGTGTCGAATGTCATGCTGATGTTACGTTATCTTCACTGTTTCCCAGTCCTGGGACTTGTTCTTCCAGTATGGAGGCAGGGGGCAGGGTGGGGGTGACATAGATGGGACACGTGGAGTACAGACGGTTACGGGAACAACTTAGTCGCAAAGATAGACAACGATACGATTCTTACACTTACCCATGATGACATGTTAATAAAATTAACATCGACAAAATTAAAGACTAAAACATGATAAGGCGCTGATTATTCACCCGAGCTGTCACCTTGCGGTCAACGAGTCACTGGGTGACGTCAAACTTCCCAAAATTTAAAGTTACTGTAGACATTTTGTTTTAAGAGACGATCGTTCTTTGTGACGCATAATCCGCCGGGCAATGTCACCTAGTTTTTGCGCATATCAACAATGCTGTTACACAATGCTCTGCTCAGTTCACGCTCCGTTAAAATGGCTACTTGTATGCAAACTGTCAAAGTCATATTTGCAGGCGTTTCCCAAATATAGAGACTTTTTAACAGAACTGTGCTCTCACAT